TTCACATCGGCTCCCCATTACAACTTGAGATGAAATAGATTTTAGTTTCACATCCAAGTCCGAAATGTGGAAACCACAGAGGCCTCTGCTGCCGCAGTGATGCCTTTGAACAACTTAAATAACTAAACACATGACAGATTCTGTTTGTCCCCGACAGCAGAGGCGCTGAGGCCGTATACGGGCTGCTGCAGAGAGCAGGAACCAAATGGATCTCCTGGTCAGATTTATAGCAGCTCATCCTCTCCGCTGCGGGAGGAGAGGAAAAGTTGACTGGAGCTCACCGACTCCAGAGACTATAACTCATCTCCTGCTGCGCTCCATTTTATTCAGCCGGAGCACATCGGTGAGTATTGGGCTGCTGTTTTTTTGGGCCAGTGAAACATAATCGCTGTCTGCCAGGACCAAGGTCACACTGTGCTCCTCATGCAGCGGGATGATTATTCTGGCCTTCGCTGAAGGTTGATTAGCTGTTTATTTTTCACCTATGCCTGTGAGACGGGTCATTGGAAATTAAATATGGGATGTTTGCTTTTGATATAATTAGGACGGGAGTTTGGTGGCTGAGGAGGAGGCTGTTTGAACAGGTTCACAATGAGCACGTATGCTGCAGGACTTAAGCCGGGGACTTTTCAGTTGATGCTTCCTCCATTACTCGCTTTGATAAATACATTTATTTTGTACTTCCTGTCGTTATGGTGTCTGCTTTCAGCCCCCCAATCCCATACATTCACATCACGGTTTCACGGTGTCATAGCTCGCTCTCTCGCTCTCTCTGCTAACAGTAGCTTGTTGACTTACCTGTATCTTATTGCAAAACTTCCTGTTTTTGCAGCTTTTGACAGCGACTGTGTTTAACTGATAATCTCTTAATCCCCATTTTCTCTCAGTTTCATCCGCGGCCCGTGTCCTATTACTTCTGTAAATGTCGGGCAAACAATGTCTGATCTCATAATTGCTAGTACTTGTTGCCATCTTTGCTTGAGTTGTGAAGCTTTGTGCATGAGGAGTAAAATTGGTTAGGGTGCAAATATCTGGGTAAGTCAATCAGACGCATGAGCATTCTGCATAACAATCTTTTAGCTTTTAGAGTAACAGGTTGTTATGTATTCAGGCTGCCTTCATGAGGGGGTTAGGGCTCAGGGAACGTAGAGGCTGAGGGAACGTAGGGGCTCAGGGAACGTAGAGGCTGAGGGAACGTAGGGGCTCAGGGAACGTAGGGGTCAGGGAACGTAGAGGCTGAGGGAACGTAGGGGCTCAGGGAACGTAGGGGCTCAGGGAACGTAGAGGCTGAGGGAACGTAGGGGCTCAGGGAACGTAGAGGCTGAGGGAACGTAGGGGCTCAGGGAACGTAGGGGCTCAGGGAACGTAGAGGCTGAGGGAACGTAGAGGCTCAGGGAAGGTAGAGGCTGAGGGAACGTAGGGGCTCAGGGAACGTAGGGGCTCAGGGAACATAGAGGCTGAGGGAACGTAGGGGCTCAGGGAACGTAGAGGCTCAGGGAACATAGAGGCTGAGGGAACGTAGAGGCTCAGGGAACATAGAGGCTGAGGGAACGTAGGGGCTAAGGGAACTTAGAGGCTGAGGGAACGTAGAGGCTCAGGGAACATAGAGGCTGAGGGAACGTAGAGACTGAGGGGACGTAGAGGCTGAGGGAACGTAGGGGCTGAGGGAACGTAGAGGCTGAGGGAACATAGAGGCTGAGGGAACGTAGAGACTGAGGGACGTAGAGGCTGAGGGAACGTAGGGGCTGAGGGAACGTAGAGGCTGAGGGAACATAGAGGCTGAGGGAACGTAGAGGCTCAGGGAACATAGAGGCTGAGGGAAACGTAGAGGCTCAGGGAACATAGAGGCTGAGGGAACATAGAGGGTTGGGGAACATAGAGGCTCAGGGAACGTAGAGACTGAGGGGACGTAGAGGCTGAGGGAACATAGAGGCTGAGGGAACGTAGGGGCTGAGGGAACGTAGAGGCTGAGAAAAGGTAGGGGCTAAGGGAACTTAGAGGCTGAGGGAACATAGAGGCTGAGGGAACATAGGGGCTGAGGGAGCGTAGAGGCTAAGGAAACGTAGGGGCTGACGGAACGTAGAGGCTGAGGGAACGTAGAGGCTAAGGGAACGTAGAGGCTGAGGGAACTGGGGGAACAAAAACTAAAAATGTCAAATCCAACGATGATGAAGCACAGGAGGATCCGTCTTTTCGATTGGTGGTAAAAGCTGAAACAGTGGAAGCCGTTTAGTCTGAGCTCACAGCGCTCGGCTGTCCACGGGAAGGACGACCGACAGAGACGGCTCATCTCTCGGATCTGCTTCATTTAGAAATTGATTTTTACGTGTAGCCTTGAACGTTTGAAGTTTCCTTCTAAAAACCTTGTCAGAGCAGGAGGGTCGAGGAGGCTGGCAGGGGGGGGGGGGGGCAGGCGGACCGGGACGAATCAATTCAAATTAATTTCCGAGACGAGGTGTTTTCTTACTTTGAGCTACTCTCATTTTGAGAGGATGCATCGCCTGAGAGTCGGTTCTGGTGGAAAAAAAAGGAAGAAAAAAGCAAACATGATTGCTTTCTTCAACCCAAGAGGGGACACAATGATTCCCTCTCCGAGTTTTGCGGTGCAGGAGCAGCTTAATGAATCGAAAACCTGCGTCTTCTGCTGCGTGATCCGGCTCCGGCATTAAGCTATTTGTTCCAACTAACGCGCAAACAATGGCCGGCGCACACGAACGGATAACACACATCATTGTGCTTCCTAGCAAAAAGAACGGAGGAGGTGTTGCTGGTGTAGACTCTGAAGGTCAAGGAGGTGAACTCGTTACTTGCTGGAGGACTTCTGTGAGGTGGAGGAGTTGTATCAGATGCGATTGGATGTGTTAATTAAAGTTGTATTTTTAGCTGCCTTTAACTATAAAGTGTGTCCCCCACGTGCCTCTTTTTTAACTGCTAGTGCCAAACAGTGCAAACATTTATTTTCCCTGCATACATATAAACACTGTGCCGATCGCTCCTATTCACGTTTTCTATTATACCATCATCAACTATAGTGTTTTAATATAAAAATTGTTCCATTGCAGCCAAATTAAGTCACAGCTAATTAAAAACAAGGCATGCACGGAAACCTTTGTCTTCGGTTTATCCACAAATGATAGCGAATTCCATTCAAAATGGTTCTAATTCAGCATACGATCTCCGCCAAGAGGCAATGACGTCCTCTCCATCGAGGAGGAACTGGTTGACTGAGTGATGGGTGAGATGGCGCAGCGTGACACCGGCGTGACCCTCGGGGGCGTTCGAACAAAGTACGCATTGTGTTCTTCTGCGTGTGTCAACGTGGCCCCTGAGGTCAGTCCATCCGTCAGCGGCTCCGACGGCTTACAGGGCTTCGCTCTGCTACGGAATAACACCAGACTCCTTCCTGTACACAGGGAAATACATCTAGTTCTGACATTTATCATCTCCTGTCGACCCCCCCCCCCCCCCTACGGCCGCAAGAAGGGATGTTGTCCCTCTTAATGTCGGGACCCTCGGAGACGCGTTTGTGTCGAAGGAGCTCCAAAAGAAAAGCCTTTCAAAAGCAGCCAAAAAGTTAATTAGAGGTAATGTGACTCGGGTGTAACGTGGCAGGTGTGCACGGCGCTAACACGCTGCCAGGCCCGCTTGATTGACAGGACGTCGTTTCCCAGACCACAACGGCGCCGGCGGCGTCCGTGTGATTCCGCTCGCTGTCAAAGGCGCCTTCTGGTGTCCCATAAAGCCCCCGTCAGGCCCCGCAGTCATTCAATTAAGGCCTTACTGGGCTATTGATTTCACCACCAGCAGAGAGTCTCACGTCCCAGAAACAATAAGGAGCCTTTTAACCTGAAGGGATAAACAACCCGAGGAGGCCAATATATCCACTGGATGCGCGAAAGACCCATTTGATCTGCGTCATCCCCTTTTTCTGAGACGCCACCTTTTGTTCTCACTGTGACCTCTCACATGAATATTTATTCAAAGACGCCTTTCAATTTTAACTTTGTGTCGCGCTCAGCCGCCTGAAACTTAACGAGCGAAACAGTAAAACTGCAGGACATAAAACAAATAAAATGAGTTGAAAGATGCTAATAAAAACCCTGCATGGAGCTGGAACTGTAGGGGGGGGGGGGCTATGGAATAATTTTAGTGGGATTGTTGCTTCGAGCAACGAGAAGTCACGTGATCCAGACGCATTAATTACAGGCACTTTAATAATGTTTAAAATAAGAAAAAGCACCTTTTGCTTTTACATTAAAAAGTCTCCCGTGACCCTCAGCTGCATGAAGGCTGATGAACTTTGGGGGCCAGAAGTAACCTTGTTGACCGACACCCCCCCCCAAGAACCCGGGACCCCCCCCCCCCCCCTAAGAACCCGGCCATATGTGTGTGTTACTCCCCGCGGAGCGTCGCTAAATGCAGCTGTTGATGCGACGCGTTTATAGGGCCAATCGAGACGACTGCATGATGCAAGCCAGCGGGGGAGGGAAGGGGGGGGGGGGGGGTTATCAGCTGGAGGGGGAGAGAAGGGCAGAAACAGGGGGAGAAAGGACAGGAAAGAGTACATGTAGACGCTGAATGGAGTCAGCCACAGCCACGCACAATGGCTCCTTTATCCGTGGGGGGGGGGGTTGAGTCTCGGCAAAGGGTGAAAAATAGAAATCCCACTGTCCCCCGTTGGCTCTCCCCCATCAGCTGCCTTGGTTACTGAGTAGGCTGCCAGCAAAGCCCCCCCCATTCAAACTGTTCCTCCCACACATCTCCTTCTCTTCACCCCTCCATCTAAGATGTTTGCCCCCCCCCCCACTTTGCTCCCCAAAGTCTTTACATGTGTGTTCAGGGTCGTAGCAGAAGCACACGCGGCACTCAAACGCCTCGTAACAGGTTGCTGTTGCCTTTGTGCATCTTTCATATTACACATTCAGATTGATATGTATATAAATATATACACGTGTATGTGTGTATAATGTATATAAAACATATAATATGTATTATCTTACCTTTTGAAAGCGGATTCTTCCGTAACTTCTCCTCCTTTGACTGCAGTTTTCTCACTTCTCTTCTCTGCTTCGATCTTCGTGCAGGTTTTTCTATTCCGTCCGTCCACGAGACGCCGACCGCTGTTTGTTTTAGCAGAGCAGTCCGGCTTAAAGCCCCCCTGCCCCCCCCCGGCCCCCCCCCACAGACCCCCACCTTACAAAAAAAGATGAAGCGAGCAAGAGCTGCCACCTCCTGATCAGCTCAGGGTGAGAGAAGTGGAAGACAAAGTCATCTTCAGGTGCAAAGACAGTGCTCGCTCCCCGCCGTCTCTCCAACGCCGTCTCTCTCTCTCTCGCTTCCTCCCCCCCCCCACCACCTCCCCCCTTCTTTCTCCCCCGGTTGCCTTTGCTCGCTCTACCTGCTCCAGCAGCTGCCTCTCCGCCTCGCTCCCTCTTGTGTCTGAGCGCTGTGCTGCTGCTCCATCCATTCCCCCACCTTTCTCTCTCCCTCCTTCCCTCGCTCTCCCCCTCCCTCCCTCCCTCCCTCCCTCCCTCCCTCCCTGCCGTCACATCCCCCCCCCCCTCAGCTCGTGAATGTTTAGACACGGCAATTGTAGCTGACAGGCTCCGAATTAACCCGCAGAACTCCAAATGCTCTCCTTCGCTTACTCACTCTCCCCCAGTTTCTCGTTCTTGCCCCCCCCCCTCCACCCCCCACTGTGAGAGCGACCCTGCTGAATAGTACAATCAGTCCTTCTCACGGGGAGCGATAGTCTATTAACTGCGTGGTCCCTGGTTTTCACCCAGAGACGGGAGCGGGAATGAGAGATTAGGGCCGAGCGTCCGTGATGGATGTGGCCGCCGCTTCGCGCGCGTTGTAGGAAAAGTGGCTCATGAAATAATCACGAGCAAAGATTAATAAGTAAATATTTACCGCCCTCCTCCCTTGATTAATAATCATTAATTGCCCTTAAAGCCTAACTGGAGTTGATAGAAGACACCGAGCCGTTGAAAGCGGTCCGTGTGATGTGAACGCACATATCGTACGTCGCTTTGGATAAAAAGCGTCCGCTAAATGACATGTAATGTAATGTAATGATGTGATTGCTGCTCTGCAGACACGCAGAACTTTCGTTGGCGCGTACGAGGCCGCCGAGGAGGAGCGGCGTGACGCCGCGTCGTCTCAATGAACTGCTTCTGAAAACAAAGAAAGGAATTTGACTCTCCTCCCTTCGGCGACTCAGCCGCTCGGTCGGGATTAAAAACAGAGGGCGAAGGTCTGGTTGGAGACGCTTTGCGCGCTTTCTGATGTTAAGCTGATAGAAAATCACGGAAAGAAGGTTCGGTGAAACGTCGCAGGCTTTAAACGGGGCGACACGAGGAGGAGGATTCACAATCATCTCACAGGAAAATAAGCCAACAGGTCGGCCCACCAGCGTCGCCCCCCTGGTGGGCAGGCGTGACCTCGTAGTGCTTGTTCAACCTGACGTCACCCACCTGGAGGCTGCACGCCGCGGTCCATCAGCGAGGAGAAATCCGTTACAATTGCATTATCAAGTCCGCGGTCAATCCAGGTCTGAAGCAAGTCTGCTTCTTCTGGATGTTGCTCCTCTAGTTCTACCTGGACGCCACAGAGAAACAGCCACGAGTGTTTGAGGGGAAGAAAAGTCAGTAATTAGCATCCAGTCTTGGTGGGAATTATCTCCGCGGCTATGTGATTTCCCGCCGTCCTCCTGAGGGCCAATGTGATTATGTTAACAAGGAGGCCATCTGCATCGTGGAACATTACTGCACACTGAAATGGCATAAACAAATTAATCAGCATGAATGTAGTGCCATGCAGAGAAAGCGTTAAGCCGGGGAGGCAGAGAAAGTGTTTGCAGGTGTTTCAGCGAAGCGGCATTGAGATTCGCCGGCGTTTGTTGCAAACACTGTACTATAAGAGCACCATCACAGCATGAAGGCTAAAGCTGAGTACTTGGGAGGAAAAAGGACGAGGTGGCAGAAGCTTGATTTGAAGAGCGCAACGGGTCTTTGGTGGAAAGCCGGTTGCAGGTCTGGATTGGCGCAGCCGGCGAGAGAGCGCGTGTGATTGATTTCTTCGGGTTTATCCCCGAGAGATGAGAAAGTTTGCAAGTCTCGCTCCCTAAACCTATAAATCACATTGATCAGTCGGGGATAATAAGGCCACGCCTGCACATCCCCGGAGAGGGAGATGAGAAAAAAACAATTAGAGGTGCATGGTAACAGACACCTAGATTGAAAGATGTAGAAAGGCAGTGAAAAGAAGGAGGAATGACGATGATCCTTGGATGAACTGACAAGGTGCAGGAAGAAATCATCAAATATAGTTTTCCCTCACGTACACATCTCCCTCCCCATTGCTGACAGTGTTTGGTAAACCCGACCGGCTTGCTTTATCCTGTGGAATCATCTCAACACACCATTTCCTGCAAAGAAAAGGCACTTTATCCAGTCAGGACAGGTGTTACTACGGAACATGATGACATATCACCAATAACTTTTAAATATTGTCGCCAAAACCAACGTTGGTTGATTCTACTTAAGAGGTGTATAAGTCTGTGTGCTCCTCTTCCTCCGTGCCGTAGAGCACCGTTACAAACAGATCAATAAGCCGCACTATTGCACAGGGAGACGTCTTCAAACACACATTTCACGCCCAATGCCACATTTATCTGGCACGGCAGCTGGCTTCTCCCAGCTTCATCCATCTGGTGAGGCTTGGAATAATGGTTAGTGTCCGACGAGGAATAATCCAACCGGTTCAGAGCCCTGAAGCCAACACCGTGTTATTGCTGCATCCTCTGTAGTGACCAGCAGGGGGCGACTCCCATAGAAGTCTATGAGAAAACGACCGCACTTCTCTCTTGATTTATTGTAAACAGATTGAGTTTATGGTCTCAATCTCTAGTTTGTGGTTCAAACAAAGTGTTTTCATAAGGTTAGCGTAGCATCAGTTAATTGTATTTCTTTGTTAGAAGAGCAAAGAACAGAAATAGAGCAAAAAGAACTCCACCAGAGGCTCTTCTTCCTCGTTGGCCCTCTTCCCTGTCGAGCCCCGGCAAGCGTTTGATTGGCAGATGGTTCATCCAATGACCTGCCAAGTATTCTTTGAAAGGGCCTGTCCTTTTCCGCGCGGTTTCCAACGACTACCTCTCAGAAGATTCTGGGTAACGAACCATCTGGCTCTACATGGTAACCGCAACATCCCGCCGCGCCAAATACTCACAGCGGCACTCGATGGGGATTAATCTGCCTCTGAAAATGGTCCCTTCCAACTGTGGTTTTCCCGGTTTCAGTAACTTATGATGCAAACTAGTGACAGCTGTTTTTAAGTAGAAGGAAAAGAGTCGTGGATGCGGCTACGCTTTTAAAATTCATTGTAACTAACTATCTAATTGACTACTTCTATTTCAACTTTGGCAACTCTTGTGTTAACGCCAACTTTGACCGCCAGCGCTTAAATGGTACCTGTAACGCCACTTATCTATAGCAAATTGTAAATTGGCTTATTTGAGGAAATTGCACTTTCTTGTTTCTTGTTCTCCTGAGTTTGTACCCTATGGTTGAATGCACTTACTGTACGTCGCTTTGGATAAAAGCGTCCGCTAAATGACATGTAATCTAATGTAATGTAATTTTTACGGTTACAATGAGGCTTCGCAGGTGTTAAGAATGGAGGCACCGTACGTGACAAACGGCCGTAGGTGACATTGACGAAGATATAGAGATTGTTTAAAACATTTTGTAATATTCTATTAGCAACATCAACAGGCTGTTGCGTTGACTCGTGATGATGTCTCGGATGTTCAAGGTCACCGTGACTTAATAATAAAGTGAAGATGTGATATTATCCTCAGTGAACTGCAGGGAAAAGTTTCGTCTCCAAATTCGGACGTCAGCAATGAAACTGACGAGTAAACTTCATCAAAGCAGATTGAAAGATTCCAAACACGGCGTTTCCTTTGGAGGCTGGATGCAGATTATTGAATGACACAGTCAGCTCATAACCATTTCCTCGGACACAGTGGTTTCCTGTGGAGGGGGGGGGGGTGGGGGGGGGGGGTACTCGGGACCAGATGATGCGTCTGTGTAGCATCAACCCGGGAGATAACGAGAGAAACGCTGGCGTGACACTGAGGTCCGTTCTGCCTTCTGGGCCGCTGGTCAGTCTCACACTTAAGTGATCGGAAGCGAGTGGCAGCTTCCCGATTGTTCTGTGACTCTCCGGCGGTTTGACGTTTTTTGGCGGGGGGGGGCCGTCGCAGGCTTCGTGATGGACGTGTGCAGCGGCTGCCGGTCCTTCTGTCTTATTCGTGATGCAGCTCCTTGCTGCTGTAAGAAGCTGTTAAAATAAAGACGAGAGGAAAGGAACCTGTCACACCGAACTCGCATCAGACACAATAAAACCGCTTTGAAATGCAAGTAATGACGTTTTAATTACACCAAGGTTTTTTGTATGAAGGGAGGTCCAGTGCCACTAATGCTGATTACTGTACGGACCTACTGGGGATGTGAAATTAGAGCGAAAAGGAGTCTGCGCCATGCGGTCAGGGGATGAATCAAAACCAAATGAGCCACCGGGGGGCCGTGAGAGGCGAATTAGGTTTGTGAAGCGTCCCGTTTGTCCGTATTGAATCGGCGTCTCACTGCAAACACAACTGTCACGCGGAGTCCGTCCTCGGCTCGAAATACCAAACGAGACACACAGCTGCTGCGCGGCGAGTTGGTCGGTGCGGTCCGGCCGCCCGACAACAACGCGCGCACAAATTATTTAACTGACAAGCCAGATGACGCTGGAAAAGGTGTTCTGAAAGCCCGTCAACAACATGCAAGATGGATGTGTTGTTGTTTTTGTGCAAAACCTGCAGAGGAGAGAAAAAAACAAAAGAGCATGGCTCGGGACCCCCCCCCCCCCCCAGATCCAAACAGGTCCTGTTCACTGACAAACTACCGCGTCCACGTCGCCTTCTTTTAAAAAAAACGAAGGGCTTTTGTTCCCTAAAACCAACAAAGTGGTTGCCGTGGGAAACCGTATGCCTAATGAATGAAACCCGAAAGGACCGAGCAAATCCACGACACCCGAGCCGCTAAAACGTGCGTCAAGCACCAGAATCTCGGCCTGCAAATGGAAAACTTATGAAAACCTTTTAAAAATGGAAAA